ATTATATATTAGATATTATATATTATATATTATATATTATATATTATATATTATATATTATATATGATATATTATATATTATTTATTATATTTTATTCACTGTATATTATATTATATTATACTATATTATAGTATAAGCTTTTGTGGTTCTTTGCAATCGACCGTTTCACTGCTCGCTGCTCCGCAGTCGTTCGCGGAGCAGCATTGCGTGAAACACTGTCATGTCTTGCTTGTCTAGCAGCTTGGTCAAGGAAGCAGAACGTATGCAAACCGCGCATCCACATCACAACGACATTTTACCGATCCAACCTTAACTTAGCACAGTAGGCATACTGCGGCCAGACAGAGTTCAACATTGTGGACATGTGCACCCGGACGTAAACAGGCAGTCAGCACACAAGACTGAAAGTCTTGCCCAGGTCTCTGGAGAGATACAGCATGTGGTTGCAGGGACCTTCCAGTGTAGGACTTCTGGCTGCTTCACAGTGGGTCTTGTCGGGGGAGTTGTGCGCAGCAGGTGGAGGTTGAGACTGATCAATGCTCCGAGGCACCACCGCCATCCTCTTCGCCCTCCGCTGGGGCGCTACTCTTGTCTTTCCGGTTGCCTCGAGCTGATGACTCTAGCACATCAGCCGTACGCGGTTGCTCCTAGAACATGAGAGAAAGGGTAGGAACAACGACAAGCTGCGCAGGCAACATGAATGGTCTGACCGTATAGAAAATGAGATCTTCATAGTAGACGCCGGCTGCGACCCCTCACCCGATTTCTGCCAGGAGAGCGGCATGTGCTAGTCCATGTCGACAGCAACAACCAGCTTGGCCGCCTCAAGTCCGAGCAATGACTTCACGGATGCTGGCCTTCAACCAAGACATCATGCGCCACCGTCTCTTATGCCAAAACACACTGTGGCAAGGGAATCGGGTGTCATAACAAGAGAAGATGATGCAACATGCCGCTGCGCAAGACAACGTAACTTCAATTCGTCAGATGCAAATGAGGCCGAATGTACTGCCCAGATATGCTCAGAACCGTGAAGCTGGTGCAGAAACATGATGCAAAGCAAGGCCATATTGAATGCCTGTATGCAACATGTCGATGTATACAATGCCAGTGGGTGCTGTTGACAAATGCAGGAAAGCTACCTGTCGCACATGCATGCCCAGTTGAACGCTTCACATGAAACAGGCAAGCAAGCCACGGCATGAGATGTACAAGGCCGTAACTAGCGATATAAATGCAGACATCCACCAACATCGTAGTAGCAACCGATCGGCGGGTCACACATACATGTGGAACAGTGCGAGAAGCATAGATGCTGTAACGATGAGTTAACAGCATACCATCCTTTTTAAGCTACTTGCATCTTCCGACTTGGGTTACAATAGAAAGGCAGAACATGACGGAAACCACTGTTCATTGCTCTGTGCAGCAAGGGCAGCCGAACATGTCAAGGCTCACACGTCTTGTGGAACATCACCTGGCAGGTCCAAGGTGTTAATTCATGGCCCTGTCGTGCTCGCGCTACAATCGTGTCTTTAGCAGGCGATATGTTACAGATGGCTGCTGTGGCAGACCACAGCCAGCAAAGGGGTATGACGCGGCTGCAGGAGCTGGGCAAATACGAGGTCAAAAAAGCTGTGCGATGATCCCCGCCTTTACTAGGAGCAGCCTGATTAGATGTGAGCTTGAATCACATGCCAAGTGGCTGTGTGGATTTGAGATTTTTGCCGGATCTTCTTCCAAGACGAGCCCCTGCCAGTGGTCGCACGGGATTAGAGCCGCGATCTATCGGCAGTAGGTGCTGGCAGAACACGAATGCAGGACATCAGAATGCGTGGTAAAGCGCGGCGTAGGAATGCAGAGCCAAATCACCAGCAAATACTGTGAACGCAAGACCGGCCAGTGATGATGCATGAAAGCAGCAGAACTGATCCGTCGGACAAGCGCGAGTCGAAATGTGTGTCCCAGACAAGTCATCCTGCGACGCTGATGCTGCAATTTCAGTTTAGATCTGACCACACCATGGCCTGTTGCTGGAAATGAAGTTGGTCTTCTTGTTTCCAGAAACCTCGAGAGATCTCTTCATGGGGATCTTTACCGTCCCGCTACTAACCTCCGGCATGAATCTCTTGCTCTTTCGGCCTACGCTGCATTGAACCGCCAAGCTCTGATGCCCCGTAACTCTACAGCTGAACCCTACACTCCAATGTCCAGGCCCTGGCGCCTTCATCCTAAACCACAAACCCTAAACCTGACAGCTCGTGCTCCTGATCTCTAAGGACAACGTGAAGCCACGTCCCCGGTCCGCAAATTCCCAAATCCTAAGCCCGGATCAACAGGAGCTGAGGACAAAACGAGGATTGTGTTCGGATCGGCAGGGCTCTTGGACATCGATTCTGCGGTGAATGGCTGCCTCGAGGTGAGATCGCCATCTTACCACTAAATTTGCTGTTTTATGATTTATGACTTGTGATGATGTGATGAACACAGTTATGATCAAAAAAGTCTGACTACGATTGCCCTGACTACTAGGATTATTGCTCTAAACAAGAAGGATCATAGCTTTAAGCTCTAGCTTTCAAGTGATGCTCAGCCTCATGACTCTTCTATTCTTTCTTCTATATATTCCTAGGCCATCGATTTTTGAAGCCGAAAAAACCCGCTTCCCGCAGATTAAAAGCTGGCTAAGGTTCGGACGGGGCCGAGCCAGGCACATCGACTGGACAAGCGCAGTTAGGGTTTAGGGTCTAGGGCTTAGGGTTTAGGGCCGTTTGGGGTTTAGGGTTTAGGGCCGTTTAGGGTTTAGGGTTTAGGGTTCAGTGGTATCAGGATTCAGGGCTTCTCAGGGAAAAACGAGGCATCATGACGAGGGAAAGCTAGGCTCAACAGTATCAAGGCGAGCAGGTGCAGAGGAGCTTCAACAACTCACTTGTGAAGCTGGTTTGTGACCATGAAACCTCCTAGATCCGCTTTATTTGATGCTGATACGGTGTGCGCTTCCTGAGAGAAGCCAATGTGCATACTGATAGACCAGCATGCGACCTCAAACCACGCGCCAAAATGCCATGAGGCCATGGGGCCAAGCCACTGCTGACCCCTGTGCTGTTGCGGGCCTTTGAAGTAGTCTGTGATGTCATTCCAGGTTTCGCCGCCATTGGTACTGCGGTACAGGCGCCTGGCAACCGAACTCGCAGTAAGAAATACCGCGGGGCATCGTAACCTTAAGGTCTGACATGGTTCTCCCTGCATCTTTCACAACACTTGGCAGGGCGGTCCCCTTCGTAGTCTGCGTGATGACCGTCTTCTGGTCTTCACCCAGCCACTGTCAGGGGAGGTCAGGTGCTGCATTAACAACCTGCTATATCATCACGAATGAACAATTGAGCCTACTGCTGCAAACTTGCAGTTTCAAGCCGTGCCAGTAACACCGGCCCATGAGAAATTATTCATGCACCAACAACCAGTACATTTCACTGCGACACCCCCGCGCCTGAATGTCCGACACAGCGCTATCGAACACGACTTCTTTCACCGAAACTGACACAGGGGGCCACGAGCAGGTACTCTGCAAAGGCTTCGTGCAGGTTCAGTCTATCAAGTGTCACACATGTGCCAGCTCAGCCGCCTTTCTTTCCTGCTCGGGCGAGGCTCACCACGGCCAACAGGAGAATGGCCTGCAATCTAGCAAAAGATACCCCAAGAGTGGCATCCGATTTCGAAGGGCAGTTACCGGAGCCCTGCAGTTTTGCCTAAGCTTGAGTTCGTCGAAGCTGGCTTTGTTGTGGGTGGGCGCTGTGAGCTGGCTTCAGACGATCTGGCCTTCGCCCTCATGTCCCTCATAGTGGTCCATGCGCACTCAAGACAAGACAGGGCTGCAGCAAAACTTTCGGCTGAGATAGGTTCCAAGTCATGGAAGGATCGAGCGAACGCCCCATGAACTGCTTGCTACAGCATATGTGTATATAAGATAAGATCATATAAGAAAAGATAAGACCATTCAGGTAATATGCGTAGGCAGGTCTAAGAAGCTGCAGGAATCGATGTTGGTGCTCATGTTTCCTGTGCAGCTAAGCTAAGCTGGACCGGTTTTGAACCATGGAATCAGCGAGCTGTGCTTCAAGCGCTGTGATCTCATGATCAATGTGTAGCACCACGAAGACGCGGCATGTTTGTGCAACTGTCCTTGTCACCGTCGACTGTTGCTGATGGGCAGACTGTATTCGCAACAGTCGAACAATGCATGTTTTCAGCAGCGCACCTTCCCAAGTGAAACACTTTGCTCGAAGCATGACCCCTTTCGTGCTCATGCTTAAGACCCTCAGGAGACAGCCACTCTGCGGCGAGACTTGAGCAATGTCTCTCTCATCGCGCACCCACGGTGCTAAAACCGACTCACCAAGCCAGGCTTACGCACATGCTTGAGTTTCTTGTAACACAAATGACTCTTACGTGCTGCTGCAACTTGGGTCCTCGTCAACTGCTTCAAATAATCCCCTGGAAGCAGCAAACCTCCAGAGATGGGATTGCCAGCGAAGTCGTCCCTCCAAGTTTCACTCTTACTTGTTCAGCAGCGTTCTTTAGCATCTGTCAGACTCGCCGGCCGACTCCCCTTAACTTCAGCACCCGGTCACACCAGGCTACCACGTGTGCATCAAGTGCCTGGGCCAACTGACAACTCAACGAAACAGGATTTGTAAATAAGACATGAATAAAGTAATACATGAAGAAATATGTATGTATGTGTAATATATATATACATATATATATATGATATACATATATACATATACGTATACACATACATGTATACGTGTATAGACATATAATATACATGTATATGTTTATTGTATTATCTTGCATTATATTATATTATATCACATTGTATCATATTATATTATATGATATGTTATTATACTATACTATACTACTATATGTTGTATTATATTATACTATTTTATGTTATATTATACTTCACTATATTATACTTCACTATATTATACTATGTTATGTTATGTTATATTATGTTATATTTTGCTATATTATGTTATATTATGTTATA